GCCGAGCCCGATCCCGGGGTTCGAGGCCCGCGCGGGACCCTCCGCGGCACCCCGGCCTAGCGCCGTTCGCTAGGCCGGGCAGGACGGGAAGGTGCGCCGCGCTACAACCATTGCTATTGCTCACTGCAACAAATCCCCAGCCTCTGCCAGGCCTCGACCGCAGCCCAGCGCAGGACGCGCCGCCTTGACTTGCCTCTTACAGGGGCTGCGCAGGCTTTTAGGACAATTTAGAACGGCGTTCTGCCGCCTTGAGGTCGCCCATTTCTCCCGGCAGACTGACCGCTCTCTGCAGGAGGCACCTGCTTCCCACAGGAAGTCAGTACATGCAAGGAAGAAGGATACTACCCTCAATTAATCAGCGAGGAAGCAGTCTCTGATACGTAGCAGAACAGCTATTACAGCTACCCTTGCAGTCTTAAGTAACCGATGACGGTAAATAATAGCAGGGCGCTGTAATTAGTTTTGTAAAGATTTGACAGTAACCGTACAGGCACGAACCATTGTGTGTGAGATGCACGAATGACCTGTGCGTGTTTAGCGGACGCCCTTTGAGCCAATGCCAGGGCCCGTGTGTTCACACAGAGCTGTGCAGAGAGCAGTGAGCTGTGCTGGGGCACCTGACTCCACAGCTCAGTAATCCCCGCTGAGCTGCTGCTCACATGCTGCTTTCTGGGCATGTGGTAAGAGGTATTTAATGTGTAAGACATCAAGAGGTTTGCAAATCCTGGACAACCCTCAAAATCTATCCAAAACAAGGGTTGGGAGCTACTTTGCTCACCCTTAACAAACCTGTGAAATAATAATTGAACAGAAGTTTAAGATTTATGTGTCAGTTTCCAGCGGGAACCACATACGAAACTAAGTAATTGCCCATCATGGTCCATTACATGATTATTTTGAGAGTTTCAACCAAAATAGGCTGCAGAAAATGATAAAAGCAAATACTGCCATATTTTTAAAAAGGCACGGAAAAAAGACAACCAGCTGATAAAGCACATCCAAGAAAGGCACAAGGCACTGAATCACTGATGCCAGAGCCATCATGCAGGAGACAGTCATCTCAAAGCTAAGACACTTTGCTCCAGACTTGGGAAAATTGTCAGTGGTGCTCACGAGACACTTTCCACGACCAAGAGTCTTTAATTAGGAAGTTAAAAAGGTGACCTTTTTTGCCAAACAATAGGGAAACAGCCAAGAAAATGCTGACGTGATGCTCCTACACCATCAAGCAAAATCAATGAGCCACAGCTGCTTACACAGCTTTGAAAACACATCCAATGTTTCCCTTGCCTTAATGTTCCATTTCACAGCCATTTGTCAGTTTAGCATCTTGTAACTGGATTTAACTGATGGAGGAGGGGTTAGTGAATAGTTGGTTTTGAAGTCAAAGTTCTTTCAGTACAGAAGAAGCCAGCAAGGATTGTGGAAAATCATCCCACATTCCTCTGCCCATGTGATGCTTTGTATTGCTGCACAAAGCCTGCCCAGCACAGAGCACAGTCGCGAGAGTGCCTTGCAGAGGTGATTGTACATCCTGACAGGCATCGCTGCTATCATGCCACAATCCTGAACTCAGAGCATCTTCAGTAGCAGGAGCAGGTTAAACAGCTAAATATTGACTTTGAAATAAAAAATACCTATCAACACCCAGGACCAGCACTTATGACACTGGCTTACACTAAGCTCAGCCCAAACCCAGGGGCATGGTTCTGGGATCATGTGTCATGCTACCAGAACATGCTTACAGGAACAGTGTAATTGCCAATATGGAAAATAATAGTAAAAAATAGCTGGCAGGAGTTGAAATAAAGTATATTGGTTATTTATCCATACAATTCAAACCCTGTACCAATGACAGAGGTTGGGAGGTGTGGGAGTAGAAATGATAGAATAGGCACATTGCAGGATAGTGTACTCAAGCAATTGACTGAAATCTGGGAGAATGGCTCTCCCTGAATTCCAGAATCAATACATCATTGCAATGAGAGGTTCTCACCTCCTATGTGTATTGCTTGAGGCTAACAAGTGTCTGTGTTAGTTAACACTAGAACCACAGCTTCTGAACTCTTCAAAAAGGAACAGACCAGCCCCTTTTCAGAGCCGTGCCATCATTCTCCTTTTTCTCCCAAGTTTGCCTCCCCACCACTCTTTCCTATAGATGGCACCATATTACACGCTTTGAATGACATCCAGAAAAGGGTAAGTTAGTGATTAATTTAGTATATATTTTTACAAAGGAGGGGTTAACTGACAAAGGAACAAGCTGCTGGAGACAGAGCAGATAACAGAAGTCAAAATGGCTTCTTCTAGGAACTGCAGTAGGGTAAAGCTTGTGATGCCAGGATGTTATAACATGATCCAGAATCTTTCCTCATCAGTAGGAGGACCAACAGTCTGTTTCTAAACTTAAAACTAGCTCACATGCATTGAGCAAACAGCAGTATTATTTCAAACCTTTGTTAGTCATGTCTGCTATTGCTCTTCTGCCTTCCCATGACAGAAGGAAACAAGTGCCTGCATCTTAGTACTTCCACTTCTACCCAATACAAATGCACCACCACTGTAAGGCTGGTGTGAAAAGAAAGGGAGATCAGGTATCTTGGGGAGGGCAGTCCTAAACCACTGCTGGAAGATTCATAAAAATGTTATATATGCTAAGTGATGTTGGGCAGTAGTACTGATAGGTTTGTCTGCTCCAACCCCACCAGTGAAGTTTATGAAGTAACTCATTTACCTGTAGGTCTTGGCTGTATTCAGTAATGCAGAATACAGACACTGTTGACTTTACTAATAAGACAACTCCCCTAACACCTGCAGCACTCAGCCATTTAACACAAGGCTGCTATTTGAGATGCCAAGGGGAAACTTGGAGATGCTGATTAGAAGTATATGAAATTACACTATCTTGCAAAGAGCACACTTTCTTAAAGATTATAGGGGATATTTTGTGTGACTGCTCAGAAGACTAAACACAGCCATGAATGCTTATAACAAGCAATGGTTGCCTCATATTTGTTCATTCACATCTTAAAGCAGACAAGGGACCTTACTGCAGAATGACACTGCACAGACTGTTCTCCCTTTAGCAAACATGACAACTGTTAGTCTTTAAAAATGAAGATTTCTACAACACAGACTTCATTTTACACTAAAGTAAACCCACAGAATAATTAGACTTCCCCTTATGTTAAATAAATACCCTGAATGAACAATATTCTGCTTAACACAAAGAGAAACCTGTAAAACATAACACCAGTGCAGTTGACAGATATTTACAGAAGTTCTCCTTCATTGAATTACACTGCTGTCACAAATGTAAAGTTCTATGACACATATTCAGATATAACACCAGACAGTGGAGTAAAGTAGCAGTTGGTAAGCACCTATTCATCCATCAAATGAATATCTGATAAGAATTAGGCAGAATAGGCAAGGCTTAGCCAGGTGTAAAACCAAAGTTTTACCAACCAAAGCAACCAAAAAGACCTTTCTAACAGAATGGTAAATGTAACTGTCATTCTAATAGTCTTCTCTTTGCTTATTACAATTATACAGTGCAGTAAATGTTTAAGTTTCAGTGTTTGCTCAGTAAATCTCTGATTCTTCATGAGGTTCCTTAGCTCTTTTCTCACAGTTGCTTTTACCTTCCTTGTAAAATAAATAAAATCAAATTCTCTGTTCTCTGAACTCCAGATACCCCAATCATAAGGTCAAGGATGTTTTTGCTACCACACCCATTTCTTTTAACCTCTCAATGCCCTTTGATCATGGGTTGTTGGCATAGGAAGAGCTTTGCTACAGTTGATATTATCTGCAGCACTACAGCAGATACCTGATACATTCTTGTTGCCAGCTGACACAATACTGGGTTTCTGCAATGTGCTGCAAAACTTTCAAAATAATTTTATATCTACATAAAAATTGACCAAAGAGGCAAGACCAAAATAAAAGCTCTGTTCTGAGAATTAAACACTTCATGTAATCCATGGTGCAAGACAAAAACCAGAAAAACAAAAACCCTTAAGAAATACAAATAAAACAAAACAAAACAAAAACCCAGATTAAAAAAAGAAAGGCTGTTATTATTTTTTACATTACAGCAAGGGAGTTACTATCCTAATATCTAAAAAATTGTGATAAACATTTCAATATTATGTACAGTAATTCTCAACTCATGGGGGAACCTTTGTATTATCACTGGCGAAAAAAAAGAAAAAGCAAAGAAAAGCAAACACTGATGTGTCCCCTTCTCCTTCTAAGGATGTATTTTCTCTATTTTTAAACCAGATTTACCCTGAGAGTATTCTGAGTATATTCTCCTATTGCATGAAGCTGAGCACCTTACAGCTCCACAAATGCTGCCTGCTTCAATCTCCTGCCAGTTTAAAAAATAAAAAGCACACACCCTCTTTTACAGAACTAACTTATATCTTCTTAGTACATCCATTGCTTTGCTGAAATTTGAAGAAGGCAAGTTATAGTTTTACATGTGAAGGAATTTATTACTTGCAGACTGAACCTGTCTCACACATGGGAGAATGCTCACCTTTCTAATGTTCTCATGAATTCCTGAGGTTAATGATGAATTTCACCATCATTACATATAAACTTCCCCTCTTTATGAATATTCACATTATAGCACAGTAAAGAGGAAATCTGCAAGATTAAAAATGGCTGATTTCCAAGTTTGTTTTTTACATAATCTTTCAGTGAACATTTCTGGGATATAACAGAAGTCATCAATTCACTTCCACTTCACTTTAAATCCACAGTGCACATGTACCGTAGAAACTCACAGTCAAACATAAAGTAAGTTCCACAAGTCTCATGTTTATTCATGTTTAACCTTCTTTTCCAGAAAGATATTAAGAATGTTAAAATAATGTGTTAATAAATGAAATAATTTCACTTGAATGCAATGGGCTAGACTTCTAGAGTTAGTTATCTAACAGGTGCATTTGCTCCCAGGAATCCTCTTGCTGAGTACCCTGAACTAATATTTGCAATAAACAAAAGATACTCTACACAAGAGGTTTGAAAAAATTTGCTTTATCTCTGTACTAATTTCTCACAGTTGCATAAATGACTGTCCAGTTACTAAGGGAAGAGCATAAAGCAGAAAGAACACACTTGGTTGTGTGCTCAAATTCCTCCTCTCCCCTCCAAACTGGCATTCATTTCATTTTCATGAAAAAGCAATCTACATGTACCTATATAAGAACACATATTTTACTGAAAGACACAAAAATCAAACATCCATCAGACTCTTACATTCAGTCCAAAATGAAGTATTTAAAGTTCCTTTCTATAGCAGCAACTAGATTCCAGGAATTTCAGTTTTTACAGCAAACAAACACAGTCTTTAATATTTTTTATATTTTCACTAAAGTTAGCAGAAATGGAAACATTTGCCTTAAAATGAATAAAAAATTTACAAATATAGCTTCTTCAAGGGATGTATTACAAGATTTCCAGTTTTTAAATGGCATCTCTTCATTGTTCACAAAAACCACATCTAAAGGCAGTAATGAACAAAATTAACATTGTAAGACAACACAGTATGGATAAAAGGTGTTTTAGCTGACGGATGAAGAATTCCAAATTCTCATTTCCTAGTGTAGCATACTGCAGAGAGCACTACAATATACACCACAGATTTTACATGCTAAATTGTTGAATCTATACTGTTTTCTATCATTGTATTTATTATCTGCTTATTCTGTCATCAAGTTGCAGCCAGCTTAATACCATTATGTCATTATATCTGCAAACAATTCAAAACGCTCCAAATATGATATGCCATATTTGTTTGAAACATTAATAACAGTATTCCATCTTATTTTTATTTATTTTCAGAGAAATACTTACTCTACTTGGTCTTTAAAACCATTGTTGAACACTCAGTATGTGGGTGAACAGAAATACAGTTAACACTTACCCAAGGGCTACTGATGCAACTAATAGAAAAAGATTTACCTTCTCTGCAAATTCATCAAGAACAGAAGGATTCCTAAACATTCCCTCTTGGCTACCTTCACTGCAAAATCAGTATTCCTTTTATTCACTTCTGCCTGGGATTCTTCATTACTTGATGCCCATGCAAATGGATAGTTTGTCCTTTTAATCTTTTCCCTTCCCAAAAGACTGAATGTTTTCAGGGTGAGTGTTTACAGAGATGTACAACGTAAAGCCTTTCAAAAGTTTTAAATATAAACCAACAAAAAAATCACGGCACTTAATGTAGTTACATATGAGGAAAAAAAAATATTACTGAGAATAATAAGGCTAAATCACAAAGTGACATTATCAGCAAGGCTGCAACTGGGAACAAGGTAAAATATCGTCGTTTTACAGCTTTGGTTTGAACTCGCCAGAAAGAAGCTTTTTCAGCATTTCAGAATTTTTTCCTTCTGGTGGTGAGGGCCATCTGTCATGATCTAAGGAAAACAAACAGAAGAATTTACTTAGTTGCTTGAGAAACTAGACATCTTACTTTTGTGTCCTCCTGCTGCACAACTTCAGTTAATTAAAGGGCATTATTTTGTAGCCCATTTCTTACCGGGTATTTCTAGGGTACTGCTGTACAGACTCTGGCCACCATCCACAACCATGGTTATCCCAGTTATGAATGATGCAGCTGGAGACAGCAGGAAACATACTGCAGGAGAGATCTAGCAAAAGAACAATTTTAATCTTTCTTAAACTGCTGGGAATTATTCATATCAAAGAAACTTGTGAAAACTTTTACAGATATAGTAACATTTTCTACTTAGTAATGAAAACTGTAACAGCCTTAAAGCCATTTTTCCAGCTGCAAACATCAGCATTTAACAGAGGAAAACCACTAAAATGTCACAGAGCACCATCAGATACCAAAAAACCCCAAAAAAAGGTTTATCAGTTTATCAAAGATGCACATTCTTGGTGGAAGAGAGTTAATTGCTTCTAAGATACACTTTTTTTACCCTTAATATTCATTCTTTCAGTCCTTCCTGCCAAAGTCAACTTCTTCAAGAAATAATGTTTACTTTCAAACACTTCAGCTGTAAGAGGCAGCTGAATTAAATTCTCTGTATAACAGTGACTACTGTTAAGTCTCTCACTTGGCACGACCACACACTGCTACAAGCTTTCTTCTTTTTAAATAGTCCATCACAGTGCAAAATTAAATCTTCTTGTTCTCCATATAATAAAGTGGTTTCAAAATAGAGACACAGAAGTAGGCATATCAGAAGCATTCTGAAATACATTACCTCCTCAGGAACAGCTGACCTCTTGGCAGGAACCTTTGGTATGCTCTTTAACCACATCATTACACCTTGTTCTCCATAGTTTGCAACAGCAGTTTCCGAAAATACCAGTCCCTATTTAAAAATAGTACAGTAAAACTTAAGTTCTCTTGCATACATTTAAACTGATCATTCTAAAATTGTGAAGTTGTCATTACTGATTTCCTGTGGGACTGAACTATCCAAAGAGCACTCAAATACAAGTTTTTGAATGTAACAGCATAGTATCATTTATACAAGAAGGTAATTTGGCTGCTAGCCACATCTCTGCTCAAGCACAATAATTCAGATTATTCCAATTCTCTGCTGTCACTTCAATAACAAAAAAAGTGGAGTATAAAAAAAACTCATGTCTGCTTTGAAATTACAAGCATTTCATGTTAAATTACAGCAGGAAACTACAAAGCCTCAAGAACAAGTTCTCAAAAGTTTTTTGTCATCTGTAGGAGCACTAGCCCAATTTATTGTGAATTACAGAAGCAGACAGATTTCAGTCAGAATTCTGACTCTCCCTACTTAGCTGCTGTAGAAGCAGAAAAAGATGACTGTGTTTGTTCTGGTGACCACACAGTCCAGCTTAGTTTTGAGAAGGAAGATGGCAATGTGAACACAGAGTTACATCCACCAGTTAGGACAGACCTTTTGGGACTCAAGTTTAAGTAAAATAGCAAAATTTGAATTCACCCATGAAGCATATACTGAGATTTTTAAGATACCTGTATAACATATGTGAAACTATTTTTTTCAGAATGTACACTTCCCTCTCTATGTATCCATTCCCACAGGTTGCTTTCCTCTCATAAAGCAGTAACAATTTTGTATTGTTACCACAGACCTGATGGGTCCACAAAGTATATTATTGTAACTAAAACATTGACTTTTATTACCAGCATAGTAATAAAGCTAGCAAATACTTCTGAAAGAGCTGAAGCCCTGAAGAGTTTGCTTGTCAAAAACTTCTGACATGTGCTATAATATCTAATCAGCATGATTCATTAGGTAATTAGCATGCCTGAAAAGTATATTCACATAATAATGCTGTCTTAATTACTTACTTCCCCAAGACTTGATAAATCAGAAAAAACAGATAAACAGGAAATACAAGTCAGTAGAACTTAATATTTAACATGTCTACAGATTAATTTAGTCTCACAAAGGTTACATAAAAGCCTTTACCTGAATGATTAACATGCATCTGTCATTAAGCATTCTATGCTTTGCCACACAAAGCCAGGTGTTTTAGGACAAGAGGCACAACAGAATATACAGACATTCTACAAAAATAGTAGCAAGATTTTCCAAGGGATCAATTAAACAAAAATGGCACTTCACTTATGACACTCACTGTGAGATAAGCTAAATTCTGGCTGTAGAAGTAGCTGGACAAAGTTTATGTTTCCTCTTTTAATTTCAAGGGAGTAAATGTGCAAAATAAATTGTGGATAAGAGAAAATTACAAGAGATCACACATACTCAAAAGACAAGACTAGAGCTTCTATATAATTTCTGTATCTGCAGCACTACAAAACATAGCTGCTCTTTCTATACAGTTATTTAAAACAACTCTACCTGTTGTCTAATTCCTCAGAAATGTGGCAGGCATATTTTAGCTGACCTGTATAGTGGTTTCCTGTCTGCACAAATTTGATAAAAAAAATGAAAACACGCATTTTTACATATAATTTCTCTGAGAGAAGGTACACTCCAACTACAGTCTCTTTATATACCTAAAGCTAAACTAACTTAACATATAGGAGACAAAGTAAAAGGTGTTATGTGAGACATACAGAGATTTTCCAAATAAATTTGTAAACACAGGTGGAAACTATCAGCATACCTGAACCTCAAACAGAAAAAGTTTCCTGAACTCAGAAGTAATGTATCCATTACTGAAACAGTAATTTTTATGTCAAGGCTTTATAAGACAGGTCACCAACTCCTACCAGTATAATTTCATTTAGCTATAAAAAAACTAAAAACCAAGTGTGCCAAATCAAGGCAGAAAGCAAAAGCAATTTTATCCCACATCCTCTGACTCATCATCCCAAAGTACAAAACACTGTCAAATGGTCCAAAGAACACAATGAGAGAATTATAAATAAACAAATATATAAATAATCCACAAACAGTTACTGGTAATAAATTTAAAAATCCAAAAGCTCTAACTATGAGCACATGAAACAGGTAATTTTACTCAGCTCATTGCCATTACGTACGGGAGCAACGCTGTTGATTCTCACTCCACTGTGAGCCCATTCTAAAGCTAAAGTCTTGGTTAGGTTATTCACTGCAGCTCTTGCAGCTCCTGTGTGCCTATGGAGAAAAGAAAGCAAAGGAAGCATCTGTTCACTTAGCTAAGGGTGTCCAGTGTTAATTCTACTGCAGCCTCACTAGGGTATTCAGAGTGGTTTTCTGTGGCTGGACAAGCATCTGAAAGAGAGAGCCTCTCTAGTTTCTAAGTTTGACCATAGCTTCACTGTTCAAACAATCTATGCTGTGATTTCCTTCCATTGCTAGGAATACTTAAAATTTCTTTCCCAATGCAATATGGGGTCAGCTACACTCTACTGCAGGAGGAGGCTTATAAAAAGAGAAGCAGCTGAAGTTCAAACTGTGTAAAACTTCGTGTAGCCTGCACAGGTAAAGCAACACTTGGAAGAACAGTGGTCTGAAAGATATATTTAAGTCTTCTGACAAACATGATTAAAATAAGTCACTATTCAAAAATTAGTGTAGGTGGATGGAGATAGAGACGTGAGAGTCAGAGTGAACTCCTAAGCCTTGCTGCTGTAGATAACTAGTATGAAATTATTACAAGCTTGAACAAATGCAAACAAAATTACTGCAGTAATGAATTGTAGACATTTGTAGTCAGAGAAAATGAATAAATTTAGCTGCTTTAGCCTAGTGAAACAGACTAAGAGGTGATACATGCAATAGCTTCTCAAATAAAGGGAATGAATAAGAAAAACAAAAGACAATATAACTTATTCATATGTTTAGGCCAGAAATAGATAACCTCCAGGCACACTTTGAGGAAACATGACAACTTTTATGGTCAAAATTAATACTTATAAAGAAGTCCTATCAGATGACTTTTGGCATGAGCGCTAGTTGGACTTGTAGGGGCATATCTTTTTCAACAGTGCATTTCTGCAAGAAGTTTCAACTCAATTTAATGTGGAAGTAGTTTTGTCTATCCATCTACATACAACGGTTACTCAGGAAAATTTTTCCACTGTTATTCAGAACTAGCTTTTTTTTTTCCTCTTAGTTCAACTCAAATTGAAACATTTTCAGCCTATTTGCCATGACAATTGAACCAGATACCACAGTGGAGATACTCAAATAACTGTAGCTTCAGCACCACCATGTGGATCTCTATATTTATTCTGTACTGTGAAGAACAAGCTAGTGAGAAAATATTCTGCTGTTCCTTAAAAAATGTTGGTTTTGAAACCATTCAAGCTGGAATGAGGACAAAGTGAAATAATGCAACACTTGCTCAAAATATATTTTTATATTTCTTCAACAGAAACTCAATTTCAAAGTCTGAAAAAAAAAAAAAAAGCCAAACAAAAAAAGAAGCTATTTTGAATTAAAGCTTCACTGGCAAGTCTTGCTTCATAGTTTCTTACAAACAAGCAGAGAGAGACCAGAGATGCCATCTACTGGATTAGTAAGAGATCCCCACACATAAAGCCAAGTGATACTCTTTTTCTCTCTTGACCTAACTACTATATTTCTATACTCCGCTGCTGCCCAGTACACACTTTTCTGAAGTACTTAGGAACAGTTAGTACTTCTGGGGGAAAAATATAGGAAAGTGTGAAAAGAAAATATATATTACGACATTCCAGGAAAGCCATTTCTCACGGCAGCAGTAATGTTGACAATGGCTCCTCCATGTTCCTGCATCCAGGCATTGTACACTGTATGAAGGAGGAAGATAACCTATAAATATCAGAAGAAATACATACAAATGAACTTGCCAACTGGAAACCAAATTTGGAGTCTTAACTGCAATCACACTACACATCTGTCATACTGGTTTAGAAAAACAATCTGCTGTTTGTACCACAGCTTTGCCAATCCAGAGGTGAGGCCGCGATGCAACAGGTAAGGTCCAGGTAATGTTTGTAAAGAAGGATTTGATAGAAATCAAGATTTCATGTTTCCATGTAAATTACTTTAGTTTCCACATTCCAAATGGTGAGAATGACATACCATACTTAAATTTAAGCCTAAATTTATATCCTCGAAGAAAGTATTTTCCTATGTGATACACAGTGAATACAGGCCATGAAAGTGAAACGATTTTCCTATAGTCTTTTAAATGAGTATCCAAGTCAACTGACTTCCAAACCTGGCATTAACCAGGAGATCATGCTTGCCTAAATGTATGTTTGTATTTAGGAACAAATGTAATACACCATTTAATGCAAAGCTTTGCATGAGATTGAAGAAAACAAATATCCACTGTCAGGTAAGTGCATGAAAAGAAGCAGCTAGGGAAACTTTTCACTTCTTATCTTCTGGTATTTCTGTAAAAAAAAACCCAAATAAACATTAAGTTTAATGTTCAGACCTTACCTGCTTTGCAACAATAGAAGGTCCCTGTCAGATTTGTGTCTATCACGGCATTCCAGCCTTTTGCACGGATGGCTTCAGAAGGACTTGCAAACTGGCCCCCTCCATTATTCACCAGGAAGTCAATCTTCCCATGCAGACTCAGTGTAGACCTCACCAAAGCTTCTACCTGAAACAGCATTTGTTAGTGTGGTATGTTAATCAAGGTCTACACCAAATTTTCTTCTCAAACACTATTTTCTCCCTCATGCCCTTTGCACAGAAAAAGAGGAGGTCCAGCCTTCAGAAGGGCTGTAAGATCGGTATGAAAGGTTTAGCCAGCCAAGAAGGACTGGGCTGTATCCATGTTTACTTAGGAAATTTGGCTGGAATGATGCAGGGGCTGCATAAAATACCAGCACCCAAAGAAGGGGATTTAAGCTGCCAAGATTTGTAAAATCAGTCACAAAAGCCCACTATGTACGACCTACTAAGAATCTTCTGATGTTTTTCAAAAGAGTGGGGGCATTCACATGAGATCTACAAAGAGTTCTATATAAGGTAGCTACTGTTATTTTTATCTGACCATACACCGGACCATTTTAAATAGAAAATATAACTCATCTTGTGGAGTTTTATCACCCTTCTCTAGAAGTTTAGTACATTCACACCAGCTCTGACCTATGAATTGGTAATAGCCAGTGTTCTTACACAGAGCAAGAAGGTTAATTATCCTACAAAACATGAAGTCTAAAAAATGCCAGAAATACAAGTTATCTTCTTTAACAAAAATATTATTGCAAGATAGTAATAAGAGCTCCATAGCAACAACTTAATAATTTAATATTTATCTCAAGAAACGGGACAATATGACTGCTTCCTGCTTACATCATCAATCATAACTAGATACCATGCATCAGTTATTCCTACTCAAGCATGTATAAAAAGAAAATTTAGCATCTGTGGTCAGAGAAAAACACAGAACAAAAAAGAGCCCAAAAAACCAAACAGGTGGAAAAGCGATGGCAATCAAACAGATTGGGTTTGGGGAAGGATATCAATCAGCCTTTCTCTGTATTGAGTTAGAAGTAGAAAACATCAGAAACAAAAAAAAAAAAGTGCAAGCAATGCATTATCTGTATGTCACAATGAGTGTTACCAACCCAGTCTCATAAATAGCTGCCTTACATCTTCTATTGCTAACAGCACAGGATGGTTTAACAGAATAGTATGGATCCTGAAAGGAAGCACCTCTTGAAAGAAAAAACCCAAAACAAACATATAATGACTGAAAAACTCGTGCCTGTTGAGAAAACTGCCTTAAAAAAATAATGTTGATACCTAAACCGAATCTTCAAATTCTGAATGTCATCTTATTCTTCACTTATTAGTCACTGCAGGCTGTGGGATGTGAGGAAAAAAACCAGAAAACCAAAACATCTGTGACAGCAGTCCCAAACTCTTAGCTTGCAAGAACTGCCATGCCACAAGGACATTTTGGCTTTTACTTTTCTCTTGTTGTGAGCAAAGGAAAGTTATGTCTGGCTAGGCAGCAAAAGTTATGCTTTGCTCAGCAATATCAAACTCTTCTCCCTGTCAGTCTGAGAATGTTGCTTTGAATATTATTTTTTGTAAGTCACTGAAATATGGGCTCATTTATGGAACAGAAATGGTTACAGTACAAAGAAGATTTGAACAGACTAAGGCTATTCAGACTGTGGAAAGATGAGAGAGAGAGAGACAGAAGGAATAATGCTAAGAATGGTAAAAAGAAAAGACAGAAGACAAATGAACAAGAAAAATCTGCTGAGAAGAGATATTAAAGCAAGTTTTCAACAGCTGGACAAAATGTTATATGCTATGAACCATTTTGAATTGCTAGGCTATATGTTACACTTAAGGAGCTGTTGTTGCTCCTACATGCTGCACCATATTCTAAGAAAAAAAAAAATTAAAATCCCAACAAAAACAAACACATATCAGTTTTGCTTTCTGAAAGCCAGGAAAGGCCAGAAGGCTCTCCAGTGACAGCTCAGATGGCTCCAACTGTAGTGATCTTCACAAAGTCTTCCATGCTGTAGAAAAAGCATCACTGCAGCACTTCTCCCAGTTAAACACGGTGACAGCAGAAAGCAGCTCAGGAAGAAAGAGGGTCTAATAGAACACATTTAAATCACACTGACTACTAAAGAAGATTATTTTCTATTGCTGTAATTAAAAAATCTACTTTGAAAGAGCTTCTTAAAATAGCTATTAAAGACTCTCTTTGGAAGCAAAGTAAAGCTGCATGAGGTAGTTCTACTAGTTTAGGACATTCTTCTGAAAAAGACAGAAAAGAACAAAATCAGGTACTTCAGACATAACCAGAAGATTGGAGCTCTGCAATAAGGAGCTTTTGTGTGTGACTGCAACTTGGATGTATTGTGCGGTACCACATATTCACAGATAACTGAGATGACAGTAGTCACTGACTCAGGGAAAAATGACAAATGTCCACATGCATTCACAGGTCACCCTGAGTGAGTAAAACACACAGGCAAACAACCCACTACAGAATGTTACAGATTTGTGATTTGGTGGCTAGAACAAATAGGCATTCTGGCACAGTGGTAACACTTACACAGCAGTAAATTTTCCCTGTGTTACTGCTGTGTTATTTAAAAGTACAACAACAGGAATCTCTTATCCACAACTACCCACCAAGCCACAGTCCTTCACTACAGGCTTCACACAGACAGGCATTAAGTATTTATAAACCAACTGAGCCTATGCTAAGCTATAAAGCTTATTGGAAAAGGTACTAGTGAACTCAGACACAAGGTATGTGCTAAGTAGCACTGTATTGAGTCTGTCTGAAGATGTCTTGTTGATGTCCAAGTGACAGATTTTACCCTTGGGGTCTGGTCCAGCAGCAGGTTATGTTGCTGGAGTTCAAGTATGGAAAGGAGACAGCATGAACAGAATTCCGAACTGCTGATTTCAAGAACAGCTGTGGCCTACCAGAAGTACAAGGTTTTATCATCCACTTACCTAGACATGTAACTTCTACTTATCTAGGTTCCAGTTAAATAAATGATTGTCCACAGAGAATAAGAAAAAAGGCTTTACAAGTATAAGGATTTAAAGAGTACAGCTGTCTGTCTCAAAACACTGTCAAGGCCAGAGAAGGAACTTACTGTAAGATGATAAGCTACCAAATCAGGAACTTGAGAGAAGAACAGAAGGGAGGAATTTGCGACAGGAAAGCATTAATTGCAGGCCTAGCAGAGGTAAGATTGGGTTACCACATCTTGGTTAATGCATGCAGACAAATGTGCCCACTGTGGCAAACAGCAGGAAAGGAAGTAACTGCTCATACACATCACCCCAAGTTATGGGAAAGGCATCTGTCACCATCCCATGGATATTGGGAACTTGGCCTGTATGAAGGTAGTACCCCCAGAAGACTGACAGGACACTGATGCATCCATGTATCATGACTACCATCTGCATGGTCTCTGTCTCTCTCATTCTCTCTCCCTCCCCTCCTCCCCTTAATTCAAGCATTCATTCCTCATGCTTGTCCCTGTCAACAGACTTTGCTGTAGCTCAAAATTTAAGACACAAAAAGAGATAAATATAGATAGACATGCACACAGAGTTGTCTGGTTTGCATCTCACTAAGAGCAAACTGCTCTGCTCTCAATACATTATGAGGGCAGTGCCAGGAAATATGCAAACAGTAAAAATCACTTCAGCTTCATAATTGCTAAGAAGCAACATCTATCACTATATACACTCCAAAATACAGGATAAGAGAAGAGGTGCACAATCATTGCTCCAGGATAAGGTCCCATGATAGAATGTAGAAATATATTCTGATGACAGAATAGAGAAACCTCAGGTCCTCTTATCCCAGAACCCTCTACTCCGCCATTTTTAAAACATGTTTTTTATCCTTTACAGAACACTGAGGGAAAACTAGTCAAAAGTAGCAGCAAACTCATGACAAAAATAAGCCTGACAGGTTACGCAGTGGTTGAAAATCCTCCATCAAGCAGGATTATTTCTTGCACATTAAACAGAAACTAAGCTTTACTAGAAAGCAAAAGTGCTACTGAGGATGAAGATTTACAGACTTAAAAATGTGAATTCATTAAGCTATCCCCATGATATTTGCCATCAAGCTTCTGCAGCAATCAATTCACTCCATCTTCTCTGCCTCTTCCTAGGCCAGAAAGAGCTCTAACAAACATTATGGACTACATGATGAGGGATGAACATTTTAATGCTTGAATTTCACAGATCCAAACTACAGGTATGAACCATGTCATCTTCAAAGCAGGTCAGTTACTTTAAGATTTGCAGTAGGAGGCAAAAAATAATCTTCTGGCAATTTGAAAGCACCTTCATCTTTCTTAAATTTTTCCTATTCAAAATCCCTCCCTCCAGTTTATAAAATTCAAACGTAGACAAGATTTATAGAGGCCTTCAGAAAAATGCAGAACAATTCATAGAGAAGGAGGGACAAAAAAGATGGCATTCTATAATAAGAACAAATGGCTTGTTCCTACAGGTGATCAGGGTGGCTTCCTTTAAAACAAAGATTTACTCTTAGAAATACTTCAGTGACATGTCAGAAAGAATGATATATTAAATGAATTATGTAGTTCTTCAGGAAACTTCCTGGGCTTTGAAGTTTGTGATAGATCACTTCTGACATCTAGGGGAGCTTGAACTCCTAAGTTTTTTTCTCTTGTTGAAACATTTATAATGTTTTTCTCCAGCACATGTTCCTTGGTACCTGGTATAAGAGCTATAGTAGAAGGAGGATGTAGACTCACACGGAATTCTTGCAGAGGCTGTTCCTCTCTACCCAACAATGTGCTCCCATGATTTCTGAGGTAAATACTCTTCACTCATACTAAGCTGAAAGCAAACAATGAGTTGTAATGTTACTAATGAGTAGCACACAAAGCCAACACAGTTGTAACCAGTCTCATTTCTTCTGTGAGGCAAGCCAAAAGTTTACATGCCCTCTCATCCCCTCTTCCACTGTAACAGGAAGCTCTTCCTGTATTTGTGAAAATACTGAAGTGAGTTATATTACTGTGTTACCTCTACTCAATATGTGCCTCCTAGGTTACAAAAGTCCTTAACAACATCTTTTACTCATTCCTGTTCCTATGACTCCAAGTCCCAGGCATTAAATTTTAAGTTAAGAATGAAGTAGGTTTTGAAAGTGGATGTACAATACTCTTTGAGTTGAAAAGTACTTTTCCTCTAGTTTCCACAAAGCAAGCAAGTGCAAATTAGGAAAAACGTACTTTTAACCATTGCTGCTCTAGGAAACATAATAAATAAGCAATAGTAAGCAGTGGGATGTGGAAAACCTGCCATACACCTCAGTTCTGACAGTTTTTAGCAGTGTAAGTTAACAATTGTTAATTTATCTAGTTTCAACTTGCAAACCAAATAGCTAAATGTAAGGAAGTGCTATCCTCACTACAAATTTAAGAGCTGAAATCACAAATTTCTGGTCCAACAGTAAATTCAGAAATTAAGTTACACATGGCTAGGACTTAGCAATCTTTGAGAATCTCAGCATTAACAGAAAAAAACAGAGCCAGAACAGCACAAGCTAAAGGGCAAAAATAACAGGATGTCTCTAACCAATAAAAAATCAGGCCTTGGAGATGGGCATCTGCAATGGAGAAATATTTAACAGGTACACAAGTTCTTAGGTTAACATGCAACAGAAATTGCATTCCTTATTCAGATCATCAGCCAAAAGCCCATGAAATGTTCACAGCAATTTTTTTCTAAATAGGACTTCAAGAGAAATAAGTAAGAGCAGTTGGACAACTGAAGTGAGTCAAACTATAAGACTAAATCAATAACTGAAAAGTTCAAGACTAGAGTTTAATCTGCCTCTTTCCTCTGAAGCCTTTCTTCAATAGAAACATACTTGAAAGGATAATGTTTAAAGAGAACTTCCACTGACAGGAGACATCCAATAGAAATTTCACTAATACCATATAAAAAGTTCTAGGAAGGTTCTGGTGTGTCTGTAAATGGGTAGAGGTTAAAACTAAACTGGAAACAGGACAATTTTGTGATAAAACTGCAAGGTAATAGCAAAGACAGAAGTTTCTCCAAGTACCAGTATGACTACCCATCATACAGAATAATGCCTAAACACTTTACACAGCATTATAAAGAAGGCTTGAAAAGCACCTTCAAAAATTTCCAAAGCCACTTAAGCCTGTTTTGTCAAATAGGTATTTAGCCACACTTAAAAAGGAAACAAAGAAAGAATGCAAGTTTAGTGGAGAGTACCTCATTTCTCCATCCAAGCAAGCCCCAAACCATCTCCCAGAATGCTGCAGTTCCCACTAATCAATTTCAGATACAGATTTACCTGCAGAAGGTTATTAAGCATGCCAGAGCACTTTCTGCAAGAAACAGACTTTCAAAAAACCTTAAACCTTTTTTCCCTCTTTACCTCTTTTCCTTCCTGTAGCTTTAATCATGCAAGTAGCCCTCTGACATCTGCCATAACCTATTATGTTGCACTCCTAATGCCAGTAAACACACACCTAAAATTCACTGGTAGGTGAAGTGACATACTGCACAGCCCCAGGGTTCACATCCTTTAGGAGAGAAATTCTGAGTAGATCACTATAAATATTTTATGGCATGAACTGTTCCACAAGGGAGAAATCTTTATTTTTATTTGTTTTATGGCTATGTACTAGAATATTTACAGAATCTTCATAGCTACTGAAGGTCATTAATATTTAGGTTAAGAGAGACTTTGGGAGGTTTATAAAAATGCAGTAATCAGTGGTTACTGGAAGATTTTCTAGCTGTCTTTAAAAAGTTCAAAATCCAACCTGAAGTTGGACTTTTAAATATTTAATTACAGAGATTAAAAAATTAGGAGTTGCATGCAGGCTTCTGAAGAACCTGGATTATGTACTTTTGCTCTTGATCTTCCATTTTTTGTAATATGAAGAAAAAATTTAAAAATCAACTTGAATAGTAAGAGAGTTCACAATGAGACATACCTCAAACTGTAACCAAAATTTCTGACATGGCTAAAATATTATATATCAGTGGGTTTTTTTGGCTTTACTACAAGCCAAACTGACAATGTAAGGTACTTGTGTCAAGTCACAAGCATTCAGATTCCATGCTATGCCTTCCTGTTTGAAGGAACTATTCTGAGATCTCCATCTTCACAAGTTAACACCCCCTCACTTCTGTCACAGCAATGTGACAAAGAATCATGTTAAGTGGGCTCTGGCTTGCTGTAGATCATGCCAGTTACAAGACCTGTGTCTCCCAGTAATATCTGAAATATGTAAGCATGGTCAGAAAAATATTTGCCAATATTTACAAATGCTTTTTTGCTTAGATGGCTAACAAATGTCTTCCCTTGGGAAGCACATCTATCCAGATCAATTTAACCAAGCTTTTCCCCACCTCTTCCCTGATCTAAGCTACTTTTGAGAAGCCCAGAAATCTTTGGAGATCTGAGCATTTATATACACGACATGCTTTTGATATGTTAAGAACAAGAACAAGATTGCTAATCTTTACCTCTTCTTCTTTGCGGATATTGCACTGTATGGGAGTCACTTGGGCAGGACTCATGGAAGCAAATCTATTATTCAGCTCTTCTGAAGCTGCTTTTAATCGGTCAAATTTACGAGAGGCAATTACAACACTGCAACCTGTAGAGACAAAATGAAACATCCTTCAGCTAACACAATTATGCTATTTTTAAAGCAACATCATGGAGATATCTTGTAGGATATGCATTTATTAGTCACTGACTAGAAAATACAGTGTTGAAGTTCTTGCAAAAGAGAGAAATGACTGATGTCAGGTGCTTCTTAGCAACAAGATCCCTCTGTGCCAGGAAAAGAGCAATTAAAAAAAATGCCCCCAAGGTTTCCTTTCCTTCCTGCAGAAGGGAAGATAGCCTGTGCGTTGCAGAGTCAGCAAAGCAGCTTTCAGACATCACTTCTGCTGCTTCTGCTCACAGCTGCCTCATTTATCAATTAAGTGATTTAAAGATGTTTCAGCAGGTCTTGATTACAAAAAATGCTTGCTCTTAAAACCACAAAAATAATCTTCCTGTACAACTGGTTGTTATTTTGACTAGCAGTGAGTAAATGTAATGGTCTGCTTTTTAACTCTACAGAGGCTGAAGGAAAGGATAATAGCCTCACAAGATTAATCCCTATCTGCAGTCTACAGACAGTGGGAACAGAGCCCTCCCTGTGGCACTGCAGAATCTTAGCTGCAGAAATGAGAGAAAAAAAAAATAAGGCAGGAGCTCAAGTGCTCTTTTTTTTTCAGCATTTGGAGGCAGAAGGACTCATTCTATGGAGAAAAAACAATGCAGTTGCCAAATTTAAGTCAAGCACTCACACTACTACCAGTCTAATTTCTTCTGTCACACCAACGGACTCAGGACAGCTTTGAGGCTTCAGCAATTGCTACTACATAGACTAAACCAAAGGACACCAAATTAATTCCTAGTGCAGATTCAGCAAGTGTGCAATTTCATGTAATGGATAAGCAAATTACTAGGCAAGGAGGTCTTGCTCCCAGTTTGCTCCTTCTATAATCTTAGCATTTCAGCAGAAGTAATCCTTTCTTAGTATCAGGTCTGCTGCTCATCTGCTTTAATTTAAACCATCCTCAACCAGCCAAAAAATGGAAAATGTTAACATCTTGCCAGGTGTGGGGGTTTTTTCCACCCTCTGTTGCAGAGTGGAATTTGGCCTCTCATGTGATCAAGCAAACATTAGAATCGACTCAAAATAACTAGTGGGAGGAAAGAACAGCAAGCTGTTCATTTGACTCAGGCTGGCTTGTGGAACTATATATTTTAAAAAATATTAAAAAGAGAGGAGTTTCATTCTTCCAGAGGGAAGCGTTTCAGCTGCATATCCATAGGAAAAGGAACTTTACCTTTTATTAGTAGCTATCTTAAAACAACATATATAAAGACAGTGGTCTCTGAGGTCTCCTGATTTTTTTTAAAATTAAGAACTCCAGTCACTTGCACAACCACCTAACTAACACAAAGTTTGTAAAATGCCACACACAATTACCAAGTAACACAAAATATTGAGTTACAGTAACCCAGCTGTATTTACCAACTTAAGTGTTTATTAATACACACACTGATATAGAATAAGGCCCAGTAAAAGACGATCTTTTTGCTAAATATACTAATTGGGAGAGGGCGAGTTACTAATCATGGAAGAGCACTTGGTACATACTGTGCAAGCAGACACTACATCACTTAATTTTCTTCACAAAGAATGACCAGACCATTTCCTGATAGGGTCAGGGAAAAGGGCACAAGTTTGCAGATAAAAGGTTTAAATTTTCCCAGAAGACCTCAAAGGAGACTGGTTATATAAACAATGTATATCATGACCACTATTACCTGTTACTGCTCCTATGCCTGTAAGAACCAGCCCCCCTTACCTGAAGTGCAGGATATACATGAAAACAGTTCCTGATCATTATCTTGTCAGGAGTAACCAGCAAATATAGAGGCAGTGAGGATTACTCAGTCAGTCTTAAGTCCTGTACAGGGCTTTCTTCACTTTTTCTCATGTGCTTTGTATAGATTTGTTTTCTATTGTGCTCTATTTAGGCTGTTACAGACACACTCTTGTTGTATTTTGCTTGAGAAAAACAGCAAAGATCAAATTAAGCACAATTTCAACGTAACGGCTTAACATCACAATTGTTAAGCAGTGTGATGATGCTTAAAAAGCACCTCTTTAAAGCAGCATGTAAGGACACCTGAAAAAAAAATACTTAGCTCTCCAGTAATACAAAGGTAACAGAACTAATCCTCTATTCAGTTCCACAAAGCTAGTGGAAAGCTGCAGCACAAAGGCCAGGAGAGGCAGAGATGTCTCCCAGCACAGTCTTAACAAAGAAAGCTCTTTACTATGCAGTGCAGTAGTGCGCATTCCAACAATGCAAACCACGGCAGTGTGACACCGAGAGGGATAATGCGAGCGCTGGTATTCTGAAGGCGCTGAATCCAATCGTGACAATAAACTAAACTAAACTAGCCAAACCCAGTCTGATGCCGATGATCCCTGGCACTGATGTTGAAATCTGCAGGAAAGGTGTTGCAAAGTCCTTTCTACCTCTCCTGGTCTCAGGCCAGAAAGTCAGGAGACTGCGTTTCACTCTAGGTTTTACCGCTTCTCTGTATTCAGCGTGGAAAGAAAGCCCACGCCGTGCATCATTAAGATGTTCTTCAATCTCAGTACGCTCCTGAAATCGCAGAGACTGTCTTTAGCATGTTATTGTGCGGGCAGCAGTTCCAGGATACTGCTCTGTAAGGATCAAGGTTCAACAACCTCGTAAATTCTCCAGTTAAAGCAGCATGAGAATTCACTGAAGGGAGAGTCTGAGAGAAAGGGTCCTGGTTTAACATAACCTCACTGACCTCTGTGTTTAAAATAGCGATTGCTTTGCGGGCCAAAAGGCACACTCCCACATCAACCTCACCTCGAACCCCTTGCTATTCACCGACCCTATCACAATGTCCCACCCACGGGCTCCTCGCACACTGTCCCCGAGGGCCGTCAGTTCCCAAAACACAGCACAGCCCGCGGGCACTCCCTGACGGCCCCTCAAACTCCGTCCGCCCTCCCCACATCCTCCTCGCCCCGCTGCCCCACCGGGGCTTCCTGCGGAGCCCGCTCCGCGCCCACCTAGCGCCAGCAGGTCGGCGGCGATGGCCTTGCCGATGCCGGTGCCACCGCCGGTGACGAT